TTGAATCCAGTGTAAATTAAAGTTACATTTACCAATATGGTTTTAATTAGTTTGGACAACAGTGTGTGTGTAATGTAAGGTGTTTTAGATGTTCTGTGGATATAAGTCCTTCCTAATGGGAAAAGTGGCAGTGGAAGGTAGCAAGAAAATGAGCCCCAATTCAAAACCTAGGAATAAAGAGTTTTGAAATCAAATCATTGTGTGTTTATTATGTTTGAAATCCTAGAAGAATGAATGGATAATGAAAGCCAACAGATCATTACTTTCCTATGAACATTTTGTCTAAAGCTTCAACGTGTGATATGGGGGCGAGGGGCAAGAACTGAGGCCATTTAATCATGCAAAGCTTTGAAATGAAATTCTACATTTTGAATAGTTCAGTTGTTCTTGGCTCTGGCTGTGACAATTTTTGCTGTGACATGCATCACATTGAGAATGCAGCGAAGATAAAAAAGTTTTTTTTAAAAAAGAAAGAGCCAATTTTGTTTTAGAGGGTAGTGTAAAAACAAACAGGCTGACAAGCAAGTTCCCATTGCTTGAAGGAAATCCCATTTTTACAAACCACAGAAAGTATCTTATTTCTTATACTTATTTCTTTGATAAGTGTTAGAACCTGTGAACCATTTGAGACCACATGAACACGTGGGAGTAGTTGGAGGTTGAGGAAGCTGTGAAGCAAGTCTTTATCTCCTTTATGATATAATTGCTTTATGTAATTGATATAAATGAAAATGGAAAGATTTGGAGATTGGATTTTCTCAGATTGTCTTCATGTGTAACTTTTTCATTTTGAGAATCAGCAAAGGTTTCAAACCCCTTTGCCTCCCAAGCATTGAGAGAGCTTACACTTGTTTCTCCCTGGGATTTGTGTGTTTCTTTAGTTGATGTGCTTGACACAGGGAATTAAAGGTGGGCTATGTAGTCATAATAACCCAAATCTGGGTTAGGTAGGTGATGATGTGGCCCTGTTGATTGAGAGCGTGTATGTGAAAGCACTTAGGCAACTCAAACATGCAAGGCAAATGTAAATGATTGTTCATATTTTATTACTATTACTAAAGTTTCATAATAACTTTTATTTTCTTTGCCATTTTTAAAGTAAAATATGATGGCTTGATACAATAAAGATTTGGATTTGTTCTCTTTAGCTAATTCTAAAAGCAGTGGTACAGTTCAAAGAGTAGAAACCAAGGAAAGAGCTTAGCATTCTTATGATGACTGAACTATAGTAACTCTTCAATTATCTGGGCCCAACCAAAAATCCCACACAGTAGATAATTTTTGATATGTGTATTTTCTTTGAGGATAACTATTATGAAAAAAATTGCTAGAAGGGAAAGGGAAGGGCAATTGTCTAATTAGGTGTCCCTAAGTCTCTCTCAAAACATGCCTTCCCAGAGCACAGCTTGCGATTTAACTACTCCACAAATAATAAAGTGGCTTAGCCACATGTAGATAACTGAGAATTTATTATTCTGTTCTTGACTTGGCTAGATGGCTGTGTCCTACATGCTATTGGGCTTTTTTGAACATTTCCAGTAGCTTTAGTTGAGTAGACATGGCCAGATGTTTCTGTCTCCATACAGGGTGTTGTTTGACAGATTTTGGAAAAGATGAAGTGGAGTTTGTAGTAGAACCTGAAGATTGATCTTGGAAAATTTCTCTGTGCAAATACAAAATGAATGAATTGTATTTCATAATAAAAGGATGAGGGAGGGAGTGGAGGAAGAAAGCAGACTGAGCAATCTTCTCATTAGAGAAGACTTTGTTGCTTTTGTCTTGGTGGAAATTCCTTGAGGTCACTGTTGGCAGCTTTTGTCTGCTTATGTTTCTTTGATGTTTTAGATTTAAATTAAACTTTACAATCATTTGGTGAATCATATTCTTAAGCAAATTATAGACAAGTTCTGTACCTATAATACGTGGCTATCTGGTGACAAAGCTCTTATCTTCTTAAAGCAAATTACATCCAGTTCTATAATTTCGTCTGACTAACATGATTTTCCAAGGTATGTCAGTCTTTAATACACTCATTTGTGATTTTTTTTAAACAATAACAATGAAAGATAAAAACTCTTTTCAACATCTGTCATAAGTAGGAGCTAGAATGTCATCTTTGAAACTTTTCTCCCGACTCACCTTCCTTTTTGGGAAAAAGTATTTTCCTTTAGCCATTCTTAATGCTTTCATTAATCACTCCTCACCAGTAATATTAGGCATGAGGTGTTGGCTAAGGCAGAATATCATATTAATCTTCATATATCTATAATTTAAAAAACTCTTCCCTGCCCAGCAAATTGATTCTCTTTCCTTTAAGGCTCAACTCATAGCTCCCTATACTTCTTAACACTGCATCACTTTTCACAGTTCGTAATTATGAATTATATAATTATTTGATTATTATCTGTCTCCACTCCCTACCACCACCACTATAAGCACCTTAGGATCAGAATCCATGTCCGTTTTTACGTTCCCCAGCCCCTAACGTGTTTCCTGGCACATAGTCGGCACTAAGTAAATGTTTGTTAATTAATTAACTAATGAGTCAGAAAATGACTTCAAATATTATATCCTTCTTGAATTCTTTCCTAATCCCTTCAACCACCACCCCCATCTGACACCCCACTGACAGAATTGAACATTCCCTCTTCCATACATCAATGGAAATTTTCAAGTAACTTGAAGGACCAGGCATACATTCAGGTTTGCCTAGGACGTGCCACATTTATGTCTATTGTTCTGACATAGTTATTAGTAATGCTCCTTTTATCCTTAAAAGTGTCCCAGCTTGGGCTCTAATTGTGGTGGTCACCCTCTATAGAATTGTTTCAGCATTTCCTAGGGACACTCCTAGTTTTTTACTAGTTTTCGAGTTCTTTGAGGACAGGTTTAGTTCTGGTTTCTCTTCCTAGACCCAGGGTTTATCACAGTGTCTGGCACTCAGTGACTGTTCTTTTGAAAGAAAAGATATTCCTGCTATGTTTGCCTCAATAAATTTGCATTATAAAACAAACACAAAAAACGCATGACACCTACACACCTTCGTAGGTTTTAGGACAGACTATCATTTTTTCTAAAATCTTCTTACTTAAGGCTTTGAAAGGTAAATCCAAGTTTATGTCTGCTACATCATTTATTTCTCTTCTACTTTAGGTTATTGAGTAGGAAACTTTCACAATAATAACTAGCAGTTCCAATGAGGGTTTCCTATGTTGTGAGATTTTCCCTGAACTTAAATTTTCTCTTGTATCTCTACATAAACATGGTAAAGGTGCTCACACCAATGTCGATTTGGACAGAGAAAAATATCATATAGTAGAGGAGAAAAACATTCTGTGGTCCACGAGCTAAGAGCAGCCAAACTTATCTTTTACTGGTACCTCTGATTTGCCAATAAAATATAAATTTAGTCTTATAAACAGTTGTTTTTAAGTGACTTTGGAGCTTTGAATAAATTCAGGGAGGAAAATCTGAATGCCCTGTGTGCACTAGAAATTATTTTGAAGTGAATAAAATGTCAGATAGTAAGATAGTAAATGTCAAACTTATAAAGGAAATAGGCTTTAAAATTTGAATAACAAAGATTAATGGAGAAGTGAAAGTGAAATGGGTGTTTGTCTATGTGTTGGCTAATTCATTAAGGGAAAATTTTGAAGTCACAAGTGATAGGATATTCATTAGAGAAGTCATTATATGCTGCCTGAATATCAGTTCTGAGATGTCAGTTCTGTGTGCATATGATGTTTTCAAACGTGACTTTCTTAAAGTAAGCATGCAGTTATCCATGTTATTCTTAGATAGAGCTATTTGTGGCTATTCTTCTTGTTTGTATAAATAGAATTGAAATGTAACTGGAAAACCCTAGTACACTAGTTACCTAGATACTCTGATTTTAGATTAATGAGCACAGCTGCTATCTAAAGAACTTGTCAGTGCTCACAGGTCTATAGCCGTGCCTCGCTGTCAGTCTTCTTTTTTTATTTAAACCAAACCCCTGGTTATGTCTGTTGCACCCTTTACCTATATTGAGAACCTACTATGTTCTGTTCACTTTTCTAAGCACTTTTCTTACTTCATCTTATGTAATCCTCACCCTGTGAGGTAACTATCAATATCTTCATTTGCATATGAGGAAACTCAGGCTCAAATTGAAGGAAACACTTTGGCCAGGTTAGAACTCAAACTTGCAGGCACAGATGAGGTAGGTGAGAAGAGGAGTTATTAATAGTTTTTAAATGTTCTGGTTTCTCATGCGAGTTGAGTTTTCTCCTTTTATTTACCAATTACAATAAATAAAAGAGGCTGCAGATACACAATTCATGAGTATGCACAAATCTCTTTACTTATCTGGAGCACACACTTCTCTACTTGTTACCTTTATAGCCTGCTTCAATTGCTTGAGAGCAATTTTAATGGTTTTCCAGTCTGCCCGGTTGATGGGGTCCCTGATATTTTGCAAAGAGTAGTGCTGGAAAGGTTGTTCTCTTCAACAGTGGAGTTCAACTTTAGCAAGAAAGATCTGGTGTCAGATCTGGAAAACTTACCTGGCAGAAAGGAAGACAGAGAGTCCCTTCAAGGATGTATATATTCCTGCACCCTGTTGAAATGCCATGTTTCTTTTTCTCAAAGTTGTTGTGATAAGCAGTTAACTTGAGCTGTGACTTTTGTGTGTGTGTGTGTGTGTGTGAATTACAGCGTTATTGCCAGCACTGAAATTTCTATATCTAGAATTATTGGAGAATTAGAGACTCTCTTTATTTTTTAATGTAAGGTGAGTCCAATCATTTTAGTTAGAAAAATAAAATGTCAGACAACCTGTAGTTTCTTAGGAAGAAACCTCTGTGTTCTAAAATGCTTTCCTAGAATTTTACTGAACATAATTGTGATATGTGTGTTTATTTGTAGGGACTGGTAACATCCGAACATACAAAACCAAATAAGCAAACTATTGCACCAACACTACCACCACATTTTACCACAAAGGAATGCCACTGTACATGGATTCCAAACAGGCTAAAAAGAAAAAAAGTTGATTAGACCTCAGACTGCCCACTGAACGGGATGACAGCCACGGCTGCCATGGAGACACCAAAAATGGAGAAGAGTGCCTCCAAAGAAGAGAAGCAGCAGCCTAAGCAGGATAGCACAGAGCAGGTCAATGCTGATTCTGAAGAGTGGATAAGCTCTGAGAGCGACCCTGAACAGATGAGCCTTAAGAGTGGCAACAACAATGACAACAGCTGCGAACCTGGTGATGCTCAGTTGAACAAAAAGGAGATTCCCTCCAAACCACACCGCCAGCTCTGTAGGTCACCCTGCCTAGATCGTCCAAGCTTCTCCCAGAGCAGCATTCTACAGGATGGGAAGCTTGACTTAGAAAAGGAATACCAAGCCAAGATGGATTTTGCTCTAAAGCTGGGCTATGCAGAGGAACAGATTCAATCAGTGCTGAACAAGCTGGGCCCAGAATCACTTATTAATGATGTGTTGGCAGAGCTTGTCAGACTTGGGAACAAAGGTGATTCGGAAGGGCAGGTCAACTTGAGTCTGTTAGTGCCTCAGGGGCCCAGCTCCAGACAGACTGCAAACCCTGAACAGTTTCTTGAAGATGGAATAGACAACAGTGACAATTTGAGGCCAGTTGTCATTGATGGAAGTAATGTGGCAATGAGGTAAGACTGGTATGTTTTCTCTCTCTTTTTTAAAAACTGCCCTGAGCTCATAGAAATTGTCTTCCTTTGCAAAATACTATGAGAGGCCTTTGGTTGTTGTCTGTGGCTTGTGCTCCTCTACGTGGACAGAGGCTAAAATGATCCTGCCCTGGCCTTTTCTCTATCCTTTGAAATTGTTGCCAATTTTTTTTCAGGAATTCTGAATGCCGCTTAGACATCAGTGATGCTTCAAAGGAGACATAACCATTCAGCCTCTGTTCCTCTTGGGGTCCCCTCTCCTACCTCTGCTTGGCTAGGCCAATCATCTTGAAAATGCTGGTTTTATAATGTCACTTGGGGACGTACTTGGGAACTTGTAGTAATTCCCAATTGCCATTCTACAAAATTTGGACCCCTTTCCCTGGCTTTGTGATCTGACCTTTCCCTCCTTCCATTTGATTGCATCTCTCACAGTTACTGCATTTACATCAGTCTCTTTAACAGTCTCCACACAAATCATGCTGATTTCTATCCCCATTACTTGTGTTCATGTCGTTTCCCAACCTAGGAGTAACCTTCTCCTTATATTCATACCGTCCAAGATGCACCACCTCCACAAACACCATCCTGACTTTTCTGATACCAATGATTGTCTCTGAGTTGTGGTACCTATGGTAGGCTGAATAATACCCCCCTAAAGATGTCCACATCTTAATCCCTGGAATCTGTGAATATGTTATCTTACATGGTAAAAGGAACTTTGCAGATATGCTTAAGTTAAGGATCTTGAGATGGGGGAGTACATCCTGGACTATTAAGGTGGGCTCAGTGTCATCATAAGGGTCTTTATAAGAGGGAGGGAGGCAGCAGAATCAGAATGAGTAGTAGAAGATGTAATGACAGAAACAAGAGATTGGGGTGATGTAAGAAAGGGGCCATGAGCCAAGAAGCTGAAAAAGGCAAGGAAACAGATTCTCCCCTGAATCCTGCAGAAAGAACACAGTCTTGCCAACACCTTGATTTTACCCTTCTGACCTCCTGAACTACAAAAGAATAAATTGGTGTTATTTTAAGCTACTGAATGTGCAGTAATTTGTTACAGTGGCAATAGGAAAGTAATACAGAACCAAGAGTGCCTTTATACTTTATTCCATATTCTCTCAAATAACTTTTTATCTCATGTCAGAGAGCCTTAGGAACCCCTTCTTCTATTTCTCAAATGAGCTGTCGTCTAGCTTTGGCTTAAAAATTCCCAGGGATCAGGAGCCTGCTTCCTATTGAATCTACCATTGCTTGATGAACTCTCTAGAATTCTAAGACCATACACAATCAGAACAAAGTAAAAAGCCTTAGACTAGCATGTTTTTCATTTGATTATCCCATTGTCTTTGAAGGCAGGGACCTTGTTTTATGCCTCCCTTGTTTTCCTCACAGCACATAGAACAGTACTTCCCACAGAGATATGAGGAAGCAGGGATAGGGGGAAGTCTTATGAACCATACCATTGCTGTATGCAGGAGTTGCTTGCAGGCTATCTGGAGGTACATTTTAATATATAGTTCTATTTAATACTTATAGCAACTTTACTTTACAGATGAGAAAACTAGAGCTCAGCAAGGTTAAGTGACTTCCTTGAGGTTACTTGTTATAGCTAGTAAGTAGCAAAGTGAGGATTTGAACTTAGGTTTTCTGGCTTCAAATGGATGAAATGAAACTAACATTTATAAATATGTATTCTGTGCCAGGTATTTTGCATACGTGAGTTAATCCTCACTAAAATACCTACAAGAACGGACTAATTAGGTTCATTTTTTCAGGTGAGGAGACTCAGGTTCATAGAGATTAAGTGCCCAAGGTTACACAAATAATAAATGGCAAAGCTTGTATTAAAACCTGAATCTGACTCCAATGCTTCTTTGACAATATCATGTGATAGTATGTGCCTATTAGTGTTATTAAGAATATCTGACATCCTTCCTAGTAGCAGAAAATACATTTACAGATTTCCTTTTACAAATCTTTTAAATCATGACAGCATCATCACAAGATGAGTAAAGCAGGCCTAGTCATCTCTCCTGTTTTAATGAGGGGAAACTAGAAACATAGTAACAAGAAAGTTAAATGACCTGTATACAATACTACAGTAATCAGAATGATGCAGTGGGCCAGTGAAAAGCAGAGGGTGATTTTTATGTTCAAAGGGCCAAAAGTAACTTTGCTTCCCTCCAAATAGGTATAAACTAGAGTGATTCTTGGGGGAAAGAAGTATGATATCTGCCAAACTCAATCACTTACCAGACCAGACTACCCAAAATACCTTAGATTGGACCTGTTTCCCAAGGCCTACCCTTCAATGAGGGTTTTGTGTTTTGGAGGTGGGGATGAGAAGAACTCAGGACTTCTTTGAGGACTTTGACTTCATGGTGATATAAGATCTTCCTTGTTTTGGGACTTCTATTCAAGGGTTGCTCGTTATGAAGGACACTGTATAGTTCTTTTGCTTTGTAAGAAAGAATGAAAAGATTAATTACCAAGGTAATTAGTTTCAACATTTCTAGTCTATCCCAGTAGCAAACTGTCATACTAATAGGAAGATGAACTTTTGTCTTTTGTAGGAGTTGCTTTACTAAATTAAAGATACCTCACACAATTTAAATAAAGGAAAAAAAAATCAGCACTCAATCTTAATTTTAGGAGCATATTAAAATAATGCATAGTGGACCACGTGATTTTTTTTAATTGCCAGGTGTGTCCTTCTTAGCATCTCTTCCCTTATCTGACTAGGTAAGTTACTGATGAGTCCCATTTATTCTGCAATCACATTTCACATGGTGAAAGTTCAGTGCCATAGTCTGCTTATGAATTTGTTAGTTCCATTAATCTAAATTTGGTTTGTTTTCCCCATTGGCTAGCTGTAAATTTATCATGAGATTGGTACTTCTTAGACAAACTACATATTAACATCTGTTGTTCCTCAGCATGTTGAATGAAACTGCATTGAAATAATGATGCTTTGCTTGTCATCAGCAGGATTTGTTTAACATTTGCAATAGTGGTGTACCTGTGATTCACATACTGATGTATGCTAAGATCCTAAAGGGTTTGTTCATTCTGAGAGCTGTCTCCTTTAGGAGGAAAAATCCATTTCAGGGTAATTAAGGCTTTAAAATATAAATAACACCATATTCTGTGTTAAGTCTGGGAGAAGCCCAAATATTTGAACCCTACAAAAAAGTGTAGAGGGAGAGGCCAGTGACCCATCTGCTAAGTAGAATTTGGCTTGGAACCTGAGTCATAATATGTATGTAAGCCAGTTTACAGGACAAAGTGAGCTATAGTGTCACCAAGACACTCTATGACTTACAAATCCTAGGCTTTAGATTTTTTTTTAGATAGGCTTTTAGGTCCTAGTTTTTTTAGATTGGAAAAGGCTATTTTGTGGGTTTGGGCTAAAACAGGTCATCTTGCAAGCATTATTATCCACTTTTTAAAAAATATATTCATTCCTTAAGTACTTATTGAGCACTAAACTTTGCATTCTGGGCCCTTATGTAAGACTTCATTGCCACCTTAATAAATGTTGAAAGTGAATTCTGATTCCTATTAGGCATTTGGTGTGCTTCATGCGATGCTCCAATGGCATGATTTTAATATATTTTCAATGGAATGCTATATGTATTTAACATTTTCTCTTAACATGATATTTCTCAGTATGTTAAAAAATTGATATCAAAATACAGATGCATCAAAATATTAACAGTATTTATCTCTGAGTGGTAGTAAAACAGATTATGCAGGGTTTTTTCTTTATATTTTATGTATTTTCCACATTTTATACTATAAGTATATATTACTTTTACAATGATGAAAAATAATTTTAAACAATTTGCCAGTATAGAATATAAAATTGGGATATACAACAGCAAATGTTACTCTTGTATTTATTTCTAGTCTTAGACTGTGTTAGGGAGGACACACTTTATAGCACCACAGAACCAAATGAAATGAAATCCCATCCCCTTCCTCCAAAGTCTCTCTATAATGGAAATTCTGATGATTTTCCCAAGGTCATTTTACACTTACCAGCACTATAACAGTGGGAAAAATCATAACTGGACATCTTCTCTACCTGCCTGTTTTATGCTGGGTTCATCTAGTATTAACCCTTTAAGAGCCATGGGCTTGCCCAATTTACCCATTGTTCAACTTTTTAGAAGCAATCAGTGGAAGCTGCCTCTAAGGCTACCTTGGAGTGTATTGGCAATTAAATAAATTTTCCTTTCTTTTTTTTCTTAAGTGCTTTGACTTTAAGTAGAGTAGTATAATTGCTTTATGGTACTCACTGGAGACTTTTAAACATGATTAACATGTGTTTGGAAATGTTAACAAAGGCATTTAATAAATTTTTGTCATATGCCTCAAGAGTGATCAGACAGTGGGAAGTCTCGCAGTGTATGTATTAATGGGGCCCCTGAGATTATGTATGAATTCACTCAAAGGGAACAATATAATTGAAGCTCATTTCTCTTGTAGTTGAGTGAATGAGTACCAATGAGAAAGTGAGGAATCTAAAGAGAGAGCCCCCATCACATTGTCTTAATTAACCTTCTGGCAAAATGGTTCTTTTTTTTTTAATCAGTCTTGTTTGACAGGCAATAGCCACTTTATTGTAATAGAATTGGTACATGTAAACCAATTTCTTTTACCATCCAAACTGTTTAATTAACTGTAATTTAGTGTGGCTTATGTATATGTCAGAGCACCAAATTCCATGCTAAGAGATCGGAATTTTCCCAGCCAAACTACGCAGAAAGCTAATACACAGTTTGTGAGTTTTTAAGATGATGACAATAGATACATTTTTTTTCCAATTCTTCTGCTAATTTTTCCCTCTTCCAATTTCCAATCAAATGAATTCTGTTTGGCTTTTTTAGTTTTTACAATATTTATTCCTACAAGTAATTGTGATAGAATGCCTTTTCTTTTTACATCATGTTCTAATTATAAAAGGAATACTTATTTTTTGAAGAAATTTTGGAATTAGAGTAAGAAAATAGATCACTTATAACCATCTCACACAGAATAAGAATTTTTATTAATGTTTTCGTGTATCTATTTTCTAGTATTTTTCTAAGATTACACATAGACTTTCTTCTACAAAATTGGGTTTGCATTATCTATAGTCTGTAGACTTTTTTTTTCTCTTTTAGCGTTATATTGTGGGCATTGCCCACATCGTAAAATTTTCAAGAATGTGATTTTTGTTGGTACGTTATATTTAATTAAATGTGATAGCTATTTTCAGTCTGTGTGTGGCATTTTTTGGCGTTTTTTTTTCTGTTAATGTTATTTTTTAAGCTTAATATATGTGCTTAAGACTCATCTCCAACTAATCCTCCATATAAACTTTATCTAAACCTCTGGTGACACCTCTTCTTTTTGCATCTATTGTGAATATTTGAATCTTTGAAAAGAAAGTGGTAGTAGAAACAGAAAGAGAAGAGAGAAAATGGAAGTAGTGACAGCCACCAGGGCTGCTATAAGTTGTAAGTTGTTATTAATCATCTGTGGCCTTGAATGAAGGTATAATAATAATGGCAACATTTGTAATGATTGAATAAAAAAGAATTTGGTTTGCTCTTTTTAAAAATACATTTTTGGCATCATCAAAATTAGAATGTCTGTTGTTAATGTGTTGGTACTAAGAAAAAGCCTGTTTGGAGTATTTCTTTGCTACCTCTTGTCAATCCTCTATCCTCTCATTCTCTCTCTTCCTAAAGCCATGGGAATAAAGAAGAGTTCTCCTGCAGAGGAATACAACTTGCTGTGGATTGGTTTCTAGATAAAGGCCATAAAGATATTACTGTATTTGTGCCTGCATGGAGAAAGGAGCAATCCCGCCCTGATGCACCAATTACAGGTATTATTTCAAATAAGACTTTTTTTTCTCATCCAGAGGCAAAGCTAGCAATATAGTTTGGGTAGAGGTTGATGGTCCCAATTTAGATAATTATTTTTCTAAATTATTAAGTATACTTAAAATGTCTTTTATTAAGTGTATTTTTAAGCATATTTTTCCTTATCCAAATAAAACCATCATTGTGTTGTGGTATAAGGTAGTTAAATAGAGACAACTTCAATTTGGCAAAGAATAAAGCACACGGTTGAAAAAAAGGGGTGCTTTCCTATTTGACCATAGACTTCCGACTAAAGGGAGATGAATCTGGTTATGAATGTGACTGAGTTTTCCAGAAGACTAAAGAAACCATGATAGACAGTGGATCTCATTCTGTACCAGAGAAGTGATTGTGGAATTTGCAAATTAGGTGGTGAAGTAGAGAGAGAGAGAAAAGTCCCATGGCAGCCAGAGGCAACTTATCCATGAGGCACAGTAGGCCCAGTGCCTAGGGCCCACAATACTTTTAGGGTCCCACAGAAATGTTTTAATTTTATTATTTTCTTTTAACATCAGAAGGAAAAATTGAATATAATAACAATGAATGTGTAATAATGTATCTAACTAGATTATTTGTCTTTATACCAACGCAGTTGTAAAGTGTAATTTTTAATATTTCTTTATGGAAGAAGGGGCCCATGAAGGCAAAAGTGCCTAAGGTCCACAAGAGTCATGATTTGGCCCTAATGGCAGTAGGATCACTACATTTACTTTCAACAGTATATGAAGCTAACTCTTTACAGCATTTGAGAGCATATAGACGCAGTCCTCTGAGTATCAGCTGTTACCTGATGTGCCAAATGAGAAAGTCCAGTGAATGGCTGTCGGAGCTGTGTCATGAAGCTGTCTGCCAGCTGCTGAACAGGTTCTTAGCCTCAGTCTGAGAGTGGATCCTGGCCCTGCTCAAATCCAGCCTGCAAGCTTTCTTTCCTCAGCAATTAAGAAGCCAAAAACAAAAAGGGTGTCAGTACTCACATGATACAGCCTGATGTTTCCCCTTAGTTGTGGCCTTCCTCCAGGCAGACGGCAAAAATGTAACTCCCTAGGAGTGATGCTTTACTCTCCTCCTGGCAGACACATCCTCAGCATACTGCCCTGTTTTCTTCAGCTGTCAAAAGCTGGTGCTTCAGCCAAAGGGCAAAACAAGCATCAAGAATGCTAGTATATCAGCGTTATTTCTCACTCTTCATGGTAGTTTCTAAAACTTAGATGTCATTGAATCCTATTCCTTCATTTTATCAAAAAGAAAACTGAAGACCAAAGGGGAAGATGACTTGCCTACGATGACTATCAAAATTGGTACCATAGCCAGGAATAGAGGCCACTTTCTCTCTAAGGGAAAATAATATATTTATATAGTACCAACTTTTGTATTTGTGATATGGAGATAATGCTGTTAGTTTCCAAAGATGATCTTTATGCTGTGGCATATAATTCATATTTTGACAGATCAAGATATACTACGTAAACTGGAGAAGGAAAAGATTCTTGTCTTCACTCCATCCCGAAGGGTCCAGGGCAGGAGAGTTGTCTGCTACGATGACCGGTTCATAGTCAAATTGGCTTTTGATTCCGACGGCATTATTGTATCTAATGATAACTACAGAGACCTTCAAGTCGAAAAGCCAGAGTGGAAGAAGTTTATAGAGGAGCGGTTGCTGATGTATTCTTTTGTGAATGATAAGTATGTTTCTTTCCAGTAGGCTCTGAATAGCCTAAATCCAAGTTACCACTAAGATAGATTTCATCTCATTTCAATAAACATTAACTGAACACTTACTGTGTACCGTGCATTATCCTGGTTGCCATGAGGATAAAAGGCTGAATAAGAAACAGGACTCACCCTTAAGAGGCTCAAAGTGTGGTGGAGAAGAGAGAGAAAGAGATAACCACAATGTGTTGTGATAAGTGCTATAGTTAGAATTTTTTAAATTGATTTTCGATGTAAAATGATAGGAAAAGGCTTCACAGAGGAGATGACATTTGAGATGAAGTTTACAGACAGAGGAAAGGGAGTTGCTGGGCATTACAGGTAAAGGGGACATCATGAATAAAGCTATAAAGATGTTAAAGTGGGTTGCATGTTGGGGGAACCAGCAGGCATGCCAGTATTGCTGGAACATATAGTCCATGGAAGAATGACGCACAGGAGAAATTATCCTTTTCTTGTGATCAAGTGGGAACAGAGGGAAGAACTGCTGGCTTAGCAAAAGATAGAATTGAGGCAGGAAGGGCAATTAGAAAGCTGTGACAACAGTATAAGCAAGAGGTAATGAAGGTCTGAACTCCTGGTAAGGGGTAGTGGGGACAGAAGGGAAGGCATTTACCTCTCGCTTGCTTGCTTTTAGATTTATGCCTCCAGATGATCCTTTAGGACGCCATGGCCCAAGCCTTGAAAATTTCTTAAGAAAGAGACCCGTTGTTCCTGAGCACAAGAAACAACCATGCCCTTATGGTGAGTACCTATGTGCAGAACTGAGTTCTGTACTAAGGGAAACATAAGGACTCTATGAATACTTTTCTCTTCAAGGTTTCCCTTTCAAATGGAAAATCCTGGCTTGTTCACTTTCTGTGAGTTAAAGTCTGTGTCTTCATGTATTCTCAATTAGGTGTTTAAAGAATCATCCTAGAAACTGCATGAGGAAAAGGTAACTAGAACTGAAGGGAAGATTAGTTGTCACTTGTTAAAATGATGTCTGGGTTCTAGCTGCCTCCATCCTGAGCAGTGTTGCTGGGAGCAGAGAAGTGTCCATGTGGGTCTACAGAAGCAGAAAGGGCAAGGCCAAATTGGGTTTGGCCCCAAGAACGACGTGTCTCTCAGGCAGGTGACTGCACCCTCTAATAATACCCTTTTCTTCCCATCTGTACTTTCCAGTTTGCTTCCAAACTTCATTTTTATTTGCGTTTTTAAAATATAGTTTTCTAGAGTACTTTCATGACCTTACCCAAGTCCGTCTGCTACAGAGTTTGTGAGCCTAACAATGCAACATGGGCTGCCTGGTCTGAGGCTACTTTGGATGTTCACTCTTTTTGGATGATCGTTTGTTTATGGGACATCTTGGTTTTTGTTCAATTAACATTTATTTAAATCATAGAGTATTTTCATGTTCATTATCTTCATTTAATCTTCACAATGACCCTATAATATAGGCATGATTATGAACCTTGTTTACAGAAGAGGAAAATGAGGCTCAGAAAGTAAAGTCACTTACCAAAGTCACACAGCTAGTAAGTGGCACAGCTGGAATTGAAACTCAGATCTGACTGGCCTCCAAGCCCGTGCTCTTTGCACTGCATCATGCTGCCTGCTGCTGCTCTACTCCACCTTAGCACGTAGGTTATTCCTAGGCAAAGTTGTGAATTAGAGGGAAATGAAAGCTGTGCAACACTTAGTTTTCACACTGCAGTTTCCTCCCCAGCTTTCCACTTCCTTCCTCTCCCCTCACAGTGTATGATGCCTCCTTGGTGTTGTCTGTCTCTCATCTTTATGGACAGTTAATTTTCTGCCTTTAACCCCAAACAGTAAAACTCTAACCTGAGTGACCAGATTGTTACAACAGTTTCTGGCACACAGAGTTGTACCACTATGAGAGAGAGTCTTACCCCAAGGCATTATTTTTCAGGCAAAAAATGTACCTACGGCCACAAGTGCAAATACTACCATCCGGAGCGGGCCAACCAACCCCAGCGTTCGGTGGCTGATGAGCTCCGCATCAGTGCCAAACTGTCCACAGTGAAAACCATGAGCAAAGGCACCCCTGCCAAGTGTGGCACAGGGCTGTCTAGTGCCAAAGGTGAAATAACCTCAGAAGTCAAACGTGTGGCCCCCAAGCGCCAATCGGATCCCAGCATTCGGTCCGTGGCTGTGGAGCCTGAGGAATGGCTGTCCATTGTCCGTAAGCCTGAGGCCAGCTCTGTCCCCTCACTTGTGACTGCCCTAAGTGTCCCCACAATCCCACCCTCCAAAAACCATGCAGTAGGTGCACTCAATACCCGTTCAGCCAGCAGCCCAGTGCCAGGATCTCATTTCCCCCACCAGAAGGCCTCATTGGAGCACATGGCCAGCATGCAGTACCCCCCCATCCTGGTTACCAACAGCCACGGGACGTCTATTAGCTATGCTGAGCAATACCCAAAGTTTGAATCCTTGGGAGACCACGGCTATTATTCAATGTTAGGTGACTTCTCCAAACTGAACATCAATAGCATGCATAATCGAGAGTACTACATGGCTGAAGCAGACCGGGGGGTGTATGCCCGGAATCCCAACCTGTGTTCTGACAGTCATATGAGCCATACCAGAAATGAAAACTATTCCTCTTACAACAACCTGTACTTGGCTGTAGCTGATACCTATCCTGAAAGCAATTTGAAGCTGCATCGATCAGCATCTCAGAACCGTCTTCAGCCTTTTCCTCATGGTTACCATGAGGCCTTAACACGAGTGCAGAGCTATGGTCCAGAGGATTCTAAGCAAGCCTCCCACAAGCAGTCAGTTCCCCACTTGGTTCTGCATGCCCAGCACCCAGCAACTGGAACACGATCCAGCTGTCCTGGAGACTACCCTATGCCTCCCAATATCCATCCTGGGGCGACCCCACAGCCAGGACGTGCCCTGGTGATGACTCGTATGGACAGCATTTCTGACTCTCGCCTCTATGAGAGCAACCCCATGAGACAAAGACGACCTCCTCTGTGCCGGGAACAACGTGCCAGCTGGGACCCATTGCCCTGTACAACTGACTCCTATAGCTACCACTCATATCCCTTGAGTAACAGCCTCATGCAACCATGCTATGAGCCAGTCATGGTACGGAGCGTGCCTGAAAAGATGGAGCAGCTTTGGAGGAATCCTTGGGTTGGAATGTGCAATGATTCCAGGGAGCATATGATCCCAGAGCACCAGTATCAGACCTACAAGAACCTCTGCAATATTTTCCCTTCAAACATTGTCCTTGCAGTAATGGAGAAGAATCCCCACACAGCAGATGCCCAGCAACTGGCAGCCTTGATTGTTTCTAAGCTTAGGGCTGCACGTTGACATAACATAGAACTTATTCTTTTAAATATAAATATTAATACTAATAATGCACTAATACTATGATAATAGTAACTAATAATTTTGTGTTGCACTTTACAAGTTACAGAGTATTTATGTCATTGAAGTGCATAACAACCTTGTGAGGTAAGTCTTACTAATGTCTTGTTTTCTAGACAAGGAAATTGAAGCTCAGTGAGATTAAGTGACTTGCCAAGGTCACACTGCTAGCAAATGACCAAGTCAGGACTCACACCCAAGTCCTCTGACTCCAAGTTCCGTGCCCTTTTGCACTGCACCATGCAGGTAATGGAAGACAAAACCCAGGGGGAGAGGCCTAAATGCAAGAAACCCCAAGGGATTCCATTACCAACGTTTTCTTAGTCACACATTCTATATTACAAAGTATCAATGATACATCTAATTTAGAGAGCAAGAGCATCAAGATCAGATCATATGTTGAATTAACCTTTTAGGATTTTTAATAGGAATATTTAAAGCGATTTAAAAGTAAATGCATACTTTATTGCATGGATATCTGACCATTCAATATTTTTATTTACCAAGCTATAGGGTCACATCGAAGCTTCTAGAGCTATATTTCAAACCTATTGTTAGCAATTATATTGCATGTATGACTGTACGTGTTTAGTTTGAGATGTATGTGTATCTCTATAATCTTTTATATAGTGACGATGAGAAGATAGGCTCAGCACAATCCTTAGTCTACAGCTGTATAGAACACAAATCTGACTTGATAATTTATGTCACATTTCATAATTTCAATTAGTTTTGAAAGTGAAATTACATGCCAATATTTGAACATTGCTTTCTTAGGCACCAGAGCAAGCTAGCTCTATTTCCCTTGTACTTTTTACTTGTCAACATTTATTGACACTTCTTAGCTTTTAAATCTCTTCACCTCAGCAAATTAGGGATCAGATTGCAGCCTTCTTCTGCAGACGAGATGATGGATAAGCTCAAATTCCAGGCATAGTAGGTGTGTGCTGGACAAGCGTAGAAGAGTTTGACCAGGACCAAGGGATTTGCTACTAGAGTCCATTTCCCTTATCCAAGGAGAGATGGCCAAACTCATGCAACATTAAATTATGAACACAAAAGCTATACTCAAGGAGTGTCCAATGGATGCTCTTTGGACTTCCAACCTATGCAGTATTCAATATCACAGGATGAAATGTAATGGAGGACAGTGCACAACCGTGTAATCCACTTTCTCTTGCTATCCACCCTTTAGGCAATAAGGTCGATCATTGGTGGAGCAGAATATTTTTAGGAAACAAAACCATGGGATTTTCTAGGTAGAAAAGGCATCTTTCAAAAGGGGGTGCAGCTTCCAAAAGGAGATGCTACATCTTTGCTCATAGCTGGCACAGTTATGCACTTCAAATCCACGCAAAGAGGGCGCACTTGCCCTTAGGTAATGAATTACTAAAGAAAGCAGGACTTTGGGTTGAGCAGCACCATTTGCTCAACTTGTATCTTGCTCAGGGTGGGAACCTTTGTAGCTAAATGCCTCTAAAAGAGGCATTTATTGTTTTTGATTTTTTCAAGCTGCACTAAATGAACCCCCTTTTTGAATCCATTGTATATTTCAATATTTTGAACCATGACCTGCTCACTATTTCTTGAGCTGGAACTTGCTAATTTCTATGGTCGTTTTTCATGAAAGTTGAGAAGGCCTGGTCTTGGCCTTTTGTTTCTTCATGAGAAGGTGTGACACTACCTATAAATGTTTCTTACTGTGAAACACTCAGAATGTGAGGCTATAGTCAGGGTTGTTTCTGGTGGTTTGATAATGGCTTGCATGCTGCTTTTCTGGCTTTTCTGTCTCCGTCCTAGTTGATCAAAACTGCATGTCAACCAATGTTTTTCTTCAGTTAACCACAGCTTCACATTTATCTCCTACCCTCTGATCTTTCCATCCCCCAACATATTGAGGTGTAAAAGTATTTTCTGTCAGGTAGGTGAGTGACTATAGAGAGTGACAGTTGCCACTGAAGTGCTTGCCATTTCACACAAACACCATTTCATATCTTCAACTTCTTGGATCGTCTAAATCTGTCCCATGTGTAAATCAGGACATTTGATAATCTTAGATGATTCTACTGCCTTTGTGCCAGTTAGTTCATCTTCCTACCAAAATCATCAACGGTGCCACAATATCCACTAGCTGCACAATTTACAGAGAAGCACAAGATTAATCTTGTCAACTGCAATTCATCTTGAACATGTTCGTGTTTAGTAGTCAAAAAAATTCTAAGTTCCTCCCAACACAGGAAATATTTTTTAAGGCAGTGTATGTATTTCTTATTTCCTGCAAACAATTGTCATTCTTCTCTTCTCATAAAATGTGTATGAACCAAAGCGGCTAGGAGCAATGCCTCAAATAACCAGAAATGACCTTTTGTTGATACAAATTGTATCTCTCTTTTTCCTGATTATATAGAAATAAATGTACAAAACCCATCTTAAACTAGGTTTGGTACTGACTTTTCACCATGATGTTTGTGGCACTGTGTGTCACAAGGAAGTAGCCCAGGGGTTGTGAGGGAACTTTTATTTCCAAAGGGCGGTAGTACTTTATAGACAAAGACAATTTTTCAAGGCCTCTTTATTACTATGTGCACAGCTATTATTTGTACAGTTTCGAGCATTATATTGCATATGTTCTCTTTAGCGTATTAAATTTAATATGTCCTTGCAAAAGCAATTTTGTGTAAAAAGTGTCAGTGTGAGTGAATCATCTGCAAGAATCTATAAATGGAGCTGTATAATTATGAATGCATAAATCCAACTTGGTTCTTAGTAAAGTTATTAGAGAAACATTTTCTTTATATTGAGGTCTGCACATTTTTTTGACTTTTCCATTTTGTTTGTAATTATAAAACAGCAAATACAAAGAAGTATTGGGACTCCTTGGCTCACTTGATAATAAAATCAAACTTCCTTCCTGGGGCTAGGGCTGTGTCCCTCAGGATACTTACCTCTGAGCACTCAGCAGGGGTTACTGCACAGTGTTTTGTGTGGTTTTCAAGAAGCAGTATATTTTGTAAGAGGTGCTTTATAATTTTAATTATTTCAGTGAGGATTTGAACTAATAGCAAGTCTGGGCCTGTTCAGGCCTTGGATTTTGTGATTTTTTTTCTTTTTGTGATTTTGTTGTTATTTTTATTTCAACCTGAAGAAGTGTGACTCTGGAGTGGCATGGTCAATCCAGGGCACTCTTTCTGTAAGACAGCTAAAAGGAAAAGGAGCCTTTTCAAAGGTAACATACAGCCATTGCACTCTCTCTTAAGGTACAAGGCATGGAAGGGAGAATGACAGAGGCCTTATGGAAATGGTCTACAAAACTTTTCTTCTTCTAAGTAATGAAACACACACACACACACACACACACACACATACACACACACACACACACACATATTCTCTCCCTCCCCTTTCTGCTAGTTTCCAGGAGAATACCTCTAAAACCCATTTTTTCTATTTCAGAAAAAAATAAATTATCTTTATACAGAAATTCAAACATTGATATCCATTAACCTTTGGCACTGAGTTTTCTTCTAACATAGAAGAGTTCATTTTAAGAGGGACTCAGTTACCATTTTATCTATGCTTTAAGTATGAGACTTTGTACAACTGCCCTTTTTGAGGGCCAACAATTTCAATACACTTTGTTTTACTCTGTGAACCAGATCTGGAGCTGAACAGGGAAAGTAATGTCAAACTGTCCAAAGAGCCCTTCTCAGGTCTCCTCCTCACCCTTCTCTGCCTTCCCCTAGTTTGCTTCCCCTTAGGTCTGACACTGAGGAGTGCATAGTCTTCAACTGAAATGGCACTACAGTTAGTTCTCATTGGAAACCAAACCAGTATATTTTGGGAACCTGCTTGTCTAAAGTTGTCACTTTGAAAAGTGACAAAAGCCTTTGAAAAGACTCAGCATATTCAATATCTATCATATTGTAGCTAGCTATATACATAGGCAGATTGACTATTTTTAATCCTGGTTTGTGTATCATTGAGCTATAGTAGTTTGCTTTATCTATTTGTGGGATTAAACAATATTGTTTAATTGTTGTAAACTTTTATAAAACCTCTTTGGGTTTTTTGTTTGACCCAAACATAATGTAAGTCTCAATGACAAAATACAGAAAGCCAAACAGAGGTGAGTGAAAATATATCCTGTCCCCAGTTTTGTCTGGCCCTATAATGCACGTGCCGTGCTTTGCAATGTGTATTCACTAGTATGAATGTGCTATGACTACTTCATGAGGTTTTAATTTGTTTTACCTATAATCATGATGGAACATGCTGTATCATTGACAACAATGAACTGTAACCATACTTATTTACTGAATAAACTATTTGCCTACTAACCACTAATGGCTCTGTTTTTTTAAGAACATCAACAACAAAAGCCATACCACACCTATGTATACACACACTCCAGTTTGCTCCTAAAAAATTAAATTATCGTCCTTGGGACTTGCATCTTGAGATCAGCTATAAAGGGAGGGATCTCCCTAAATGAGTTCATCTGAATTTTATCACAGTAATCATATGCCTTCTTATTTTTGTCTACAGTGATAAGTTGCTTAACAACAGGGATACATTCTGAGAAATGTGTCGTTAGGCGATTTCATCATTGTATGAACATCACAGAGTGTACTTACACAAACCTAGATGGTATAGCCTACTACACACCTAGGCTATATGGTACTAATCTTATGGGACCACTGTTGTATATGCAGTCCATCATTCATTGACCAAAACGTTGTTATGCGACGTATGACTGTACTAACACAGCTCCAAATACTAGTCAACTGGTATTTCCCACAAGGCTGTGTTACCAGACACAAACACAGGTCCTTTACCCGCCACACAGGGGCCAAATAAAAACTGAAATGCCAGGCTTATGGCAAGGAAAGCGTTTTTATTTCGGGTGATGTCAGCCAGGAGACGAGAGTGAACCTTCAAATTCA